TGCGTCTGGAGGTGCTGCGTCTGGGGGTGCTGAGCCTGCGTATGTGGAGCGCGGGGGTGCTGAGTCTGGGGGTGAGTCGCCTGAGGGTCCTGAGACTGCTGTTACGCGGTCTCCTTGGAGTAGCCGTCTTCGTCCGCGTGTGCCTCTCACCTCCCAGCAGCTGCACGACTGGTACGGTCGCCGTCAGCGTCGCGCTTCTGCACCTCAGGGCTCTACTGCTGGGGGTTCTTCTGCTGCCGTCACTGGAGCTGGAAGTGGTGCTGGTCCTTTGCCTGCTAGAGGTGCTGGTGTCGCTGGTCCCGGAGGTGCTCGTACTGGGAGTACTGGAGTTGCTGGGGCTGACGGTGGCGTGTCTGAGGGTGCTGGGGCTGCTGGAGGTGCTGGAGCTACTGAGGGTACAGGGGCTGCTGGAGGAGCTGGAGCTGCTGAGGGTACTGGAGCTACTGGAGGTGCTGGAGCTGTTGAGGGTGCTGGAGCTGCTGGTGCTGGTGGCACTGCACAGCCGCGCACGTTCTTTGCTCCGCCGGCTCCGTTGTCTCTGCCACCGCCTGACTCCGTGCTTCGCCAGGTTCTTAGCCTCTCGTCATCCACTGGTCTTCCGTTACAGCATGGCTCACCTTTGCCTGCTCTTTCTCCTTACACCGAGCAGACAGGGGGCCTTGCTGAGCGTCGTGAGCCTGCGTCGCGTCCTGTCTCACCTGTCTGTTCCGGTCGTTCCGGTCGTCGTGTTCCTCGTCAGCGTCAGCCGGCTGTCCCCGGCCCTTCCCTTGTCGTCTGTCGTCCTTCGTCTCCGCCGCCACGTGTTCACCTGCCGTCTCCGCCTGCGTCCTCTCTACCTGTCGTTGCTGACCCTGAGTCTGACCGTTTTTGTGCTGAGCACCCTGCTGTCACGTGTCTGCTAGCCACTGTTGTCGCCGACCCATCGTTTGAGTCTGCTGCTGCGTCTGCCTTAGTCGCTGAGCTTATCGACTTTGCTGCTCACTGTCGTCTAGACTACGCCGCTAGTCTTGTTGTTGAGTCTGAGTCTGTCTGTCCTCCGTCCGTCGGGGGTGAGTGTGCTCTTGGCACGGACGTCCTTGAGGACAGGCAGGAGGACCTTGAGTGTCTTGCAGCCCCTGCGCCTCATCTCGTGTCCATGCTGCTTGCCCCTAAGGGAGACCCAGATGCTCCAGACATCCCGACTCCACGATCGTACGCTGAGGCGATCGAGGGTCCCTACTCCTCTCAGTGGCAGACAGCCATGGACGCAGAGATGGCATCCTGGAAGTCCACAGGCACCTACGTCAACGAGGTTCCCCCTCCTGGGGCGAACATCGTCAGTGGCATGTGGATTTTCAGGGTGAAGCGGCCGCCAGGTTCTCCGCCTGTCTTCAAGGCTCGTTACGTTGCGTGAGGCTTCAGTCAGCGAGAGGGAGTTGACTTCTTCTAGACCTTCTCCCCCACCCCGAAGATGACTACTCTTCGGGTGCTGCTGCACGTTGCCGCTCAGCGTGACTACGAGCTTCACTCTCTTGACTTCAGCACAGCTTTCTTGCAGGGCAGTCTGCACGAAGAGATCTGGCTGCGCCGTCCACCTGGCTTCACTGGGTCGTTCCCTCCTGGTACCCAGAGGAGCCTCCGACGGCCAGTCTAGGATCTCCGCCAGGCGCCACGTGAGTGGCACGACACACCGAGGACGACTCTTGCGGCTCTTGGGTTTGCCCCGTCGCTGTTTCTGCGCACCGACACTTCGCTGCCGCCGTTCTACATCCTCGTGTACGTCGACGACTTGGTCTTTGCCACTGCTGACACTGAGGCGCTAACCCTGGTGAAGTCGGAGCTGCAGAAGAGACACACGTGCACAGACCTGGGTGAGCTGCGCAGCTACTTTGGCCTGCAGATCACCCGGGACAGAGCATGCCGCACTATCACACTGACTCAGTCACACATGGTGCAGCAGGTCCTTCAGCGCTTCGGCTTCACCTGGTCCTCAGCACAGGCCACTCCTCTGGCTACAGGTCACTCGCTCTCAACTCCACCTTCGGACGAGTCCGTAGAGCCGAGTGGTCCTTACCCAGAGCTAGTGGACTGCCTCATGTACCTGATGACCTGCACTCCTCTGACCCTGCGTACCCTCTTGGCCTTCTGGCTCGCTACGTGGCTCCTGGTCGGCACCAAAAGGTGCACATGGATGTTGCTAAGAGGGTACTACGCTACTTGTGCAGTACATCGGGCATGGGGCTCGTGCTTGGAGGACGTGGTGACGTTGTCCTCACTGGTCACTCGGACGCCTCTTGGGTTGACGACTAGGCTACGCAGCGGTCGTCACAGGGTTACACCTTCAGCCTTGGTTCTGGTTCAGTTTCCTGGCGTTCTACACGTTCGTCTTCAGTTCTCGGCTTCAGCTGTAAGGCCGAGATCTACGCCACAGCCATGGCTGCACAGAAGCTACGCTGGCTCACCTACCTGCTGACCGACTTGGGAGAGCGGCCTCGTTCTCCTCCAGTTCTGTACGTCGACAACAAGGCCGTCATTGCCTTGTGTGAGGAGCACAGACTGGAGCACAGAACGAAGCACATCGCTCTGCGTTACTTCCTTGCTCGAGAGCTGCAGCAGCGTGGCCAGCTTCATCTTGCTTACGTGGCCACTCGGGCCAACACTGCTGATATATTCACCAAGGCGCTTCCGTCTGGTGATCATCAGCGTTTCTGCACCTTGTTAGGCCTAGTGCTCACACTTCCTCACTTGCTGTAGGCTTTGTTTGTACTGTGATCTATATATATTCCTGCATGTTTGCTCTGGTAGGTAGACATCACTGTGCTATTGTTGTTACGTATATATCTCAGCATGTGAACTGGCCTTGTGGATTTTTGCTTGTACTCAGACTGCGTGGCGACGTTGTGATCCACCCTGAGCTGTGTTTTGTTTCTTCGCTTGACTGGTCTTGTGACCGTTTTTTGCTCTGGCTATCCCCCATTTCGCCTATGGGGGTGTGTCAAATTATACATACTTGTTTAGGCTATCTAGGCTGCATGGGGGTTAGCACTAAGGGGTACAGAAACTTTCTCGATACCCTAGTCTTGTACCCACCCCTTCACCTAATTCCATCATTCTTGCCTTAGTTCTTAACAGCAACAGCAGTGCTGCATATTCTACGTAGTTCGTGTGATGGGAGATTCTGCAAAGAGGAATTGCTGGCCTTGTTATCGTACATTTCTCACTTAGTGCTCGCCTTTCAATGGCCATCTGACGTGAATACAACACACAACTAGTCTTTGCCGTCTCATCATCTTCACTTCTGCAGATTCTAAGTGGCTCCTCCTCCTTCTTTCTCTTCCTTCAATGTCCCATTGCTGTCCCGTTGGCAGCTTTTCCTCGTAAGTGGCTCTCTTAAGGTGAAGTGCAGGGCGAGGGAGAGGACATCTGGGGTGGGGTGCCATTTTCTCAAGATGGACCACTGCTGTGCTTTGGTTTGCTTATCTCTGCTTAGGTGTGCCAAGGTTTGCTTAGGTTTGTGTGGGTGTGTTGTGCTCCGCTGTGCTGGGATGGGTCTGCATGTTGTGGAATAGGTTCAACCTGAAAGGTGTCTGTGCACAAACACCCAAGCAGGACGGAGAGTCCTCTCCTCCTGCAGGTGCTTTGCCATGCCAGGCAGCCAGCACAGTGATGAGGAACATGTAAGTGCAGGGAACTGAAACACGCAATGCATGCAGCATGCATGCACATACGGTACAAAAAAAAAAAAAAACCAACCAGCCATGAGACAGGCAAACCCCTCTGACATAGAAGTGTGGATGGCAGGGACCGACAGGGAGCAGGCTTGTCATGGTTTGCACAGGTAATGCAGTACAGGAATGGTCAGATGCCGCTGCCAACAGACAATCAGCCAATCCGACAAGCAGCCAAGTACCGTAGCAAAGCAGCCAGGCAGCACCCCAGCTAATCAGCCAACCAGCTATCCAGCCTATTAGCCATGCAGATAATCAACCAGCACTCCAGCTAAACAGCCTATCCCAGTTCCTTGCATCCTGACCTCACACTTCAGAATGGCATCTGTGCACTGGCACTTGGTCCTACCGGGTTCTAGATTCAAAATATGCACTCCATGATGGCACATGACAGCATTTGCAGCTGCCACAAACCAGTCACAGATCAGACCTCATGCCTACAGCACCAGCTCCTGGTGTTGTATGGCAGGACCAGCTCCTTCAGCACTGAACTTCTGATTCTTTGTTCAGCAACCAGGCTTGGCAGGTGCACAACATGAACATAAACGTGTCCATCAGGTAAGGCTAGAAGGTGCGCACAGCAAGCATTTTGCAGACAGAAACGCCACCAGGGAGATTGCAACATTCTGTTCACAAGGGATTTACGGTACGGTAGCTAGACGTTTCGGCACTTGGCCCTCTCCTCTCCAGCTTCCACAAATTTTAGCATTGAGAAAGCTTGCTTTCTTATTCTTATCAATTGGCATCGTTCTCATTACAAATGGCTTATTACAACATTTGCATCAACGTTGAACACAAGCTAGTGCAATCGCATAACACTAGCTAAGATGTACCCTATCCAAGTGGCATTAGCAAGGCGGTTTACTCTGGGGTGGGTGGTGGGAATGTTGAGTGAGCCGTTGGAAAATCGAGAAGCGTGGGTGGAGGGAAATGAACTCCAACCCACGGTTTTTGTAGTTGGAGAAGGGCGTTTAGCGCGCTTCGACGATGCCAATTGTGCAGTACAAGCAGCTTCGCTTTCACAATACACAATTTAAAAAAACACAATGTGTGTTTAAAAATTATAATATTTTGGTACATAATTCCCGCAGACCTGAAAACAAGCCCTGGTGGTGCGAAGTTCAAGAAGAATCACCAGTCTTCGCAGCTCAATCAACTTGCACCCGTAGGATAACGTATTTCGGAAAGGTCTCACAGCCGCCGCAAACGCGTTGTCTCCTACTGTATTTCCGTTGTGACGTTGCGACCGCGTCACTCCTAACTTGCGCGGTATTTTGTTGTTTAGTAACTGCCATGTCAGATTCGGAGGACGATTTCGAGCAAGAGCTTCTGCAGGCCGTTGGTCGCGCCGGCAGAAGCGGAGGCAGAAGCGGCGGGGGAGACGGCGGAAGGAAAGGCGGAGGCGGGGGAGGGAACAGGCGGAGCAGCAAAGGCGGTCGCAGCCGTCGATCTGGATTTCGTAGCTCGAGCAGCAGCGAAGATCAGCCGTCGGATAACGAGGATGACGATGACGAGCACGAGGATATCGAGGAACGGGAGCGCGCAAGAGGCGCGCGGGGATCCGCCGGCGCGGAAGGGAAAACGGATACCCGCAGCCGCGGCAACGTGAGCCCTCCACGGGGAAGCGGTTTCCGCAGCGGTGGCGGCGGCGGAGGCGGGGGGAACCGCGGAGGGGGAAGGGGAAGCGGGTCGGACGAGGATAGAAGGGCGCGCGGGAGCGGCGGGGGGGATGGGGATTCGGAAAGCAGCGGCTTGTCGTTTGGTAGCGATTTGTACAAGGACGACGACGATCGCGAACGGTTACAGGCGATGAACGAAATCGATCGCGAGCAGATTTTGTTCGAGCGCGACGAGAGGCGACGAAGCCACCTGGACAAACGGGAGCTTCGCAAGAAGCTTCGCCAGCAGCAGAAGCTGCACCCGCAGCAGCAGCAGTCGTTTCAACGCACCCAGGAGCGCACGCCGCGCGCATCTGCGCGAGAGCCGGCGGCTTCCCCCGCAGCCCCGCCGCCGGCGGCCGCAACGGCAGCGACCACGCCAGAACCGGCGGCGCGCGGAGCGCCAGCATCGGGATCCGCTCCGGGGTCGGTGGGGGGGCCGTCGTACACGCCGCCGGGATCGGCGGTGGCGCGCGCGCGCGGGTTCGGCGGCGTGGAGCGGAGCCGCAAAGAGGACGCGCTGCAGCAGCTGGAGGCGAAGAAGGCGGCGAAGCAGCAGCGGCGGAACGATCTCGACGCGGATAGGGGCGCGGATAGGGATGCTTCCGACGACGGCGGAAGCGACGATGCTTCCCGCCGCAAGCCGCCCGCGCCCTCGCCCGCAGATGCGAAACCTCCTGCTTCCGCTCGTTCCCGCTCCCGTTCCCGCTCACGATCCCGTTCGCGATCGCGTTCCCGCAGCAGCAGCAGGGGCAGGGGCAGGGGGAGGGGCCGCGGGAGAGGGAGCGACAGTGATGCCAGCAGCAGCAGCCGCAGTAGCAGAGGCCGCCGGCGACGCAGCCGCAGCCGCAGCAGCGCGAGTTCTGATCGCAGCAGCAGCAGGAGCAGCCGCGGGAGGAGCAGCAGCCGCAGCAGCCGCGGCAGCAGCAGCGACAGCGACAGGGGCAGCACGAGCAGCAGCGATGGGGGCCGGGGCGGGAGGGACGGGGGGCGGAAGCGCGGAGGCGACCAGTCTAGATTCGCTGAACCGGATGATTTGGCGCAGATTGTGGTGACGCGGTCGAAGCTGGCAGCGTGGTGCATGGAGCCTTATTTTGAGTCGCTGGTGTGTGGGTGCTTCGTGCGGCTGGGCATTGGCATGAACCCCCATGGCCAGCCCGTGTATCGCATCTGTGAAGTGGTGGCGGTCGATGCTAAGGACCCCTCCAAACAGGTAGGGTGCTGAAGCTGGCAGCGTGTTGTATGTGCGGAGTCGTATCTTGAGTCGCTGGTGTGTGTGGCGTTTGATGCTAAAGACCCCCCGAAGCAGGCACGTACGTCACTCCTTTCCCCCACTCTGCTCTGCTCCCTCGTGGCCTCCACCTTCCCTTTGTGCCCCACGTAGCGCCAGTACAAGTTTGAGGGGCGCACGACGTGCAAGTTCCAGGACTGGACTGCAAGTGCCTTATGAGTCACCCTTATCCATCCCCTCTTGCCCTCCGCCCCCCATCTGCTCCCTTCTCATCCCCACCAGTACAAGTTCGAGGGGCGCATGACGTGCAAGTTCCTGGACTGCAAGTGGGGCGAGCACAGGGCGCGCTGGCAGATGGCTGCAAGTGCCTTATGAGTCACCATCTTCGTCCCCCCTTGCCCTCTCACCCCCCTGCCTGACCCCCCCACTCCAGTACAAGTTTGAGGGGCGCATGACGTGCAAGTTTCTGGACTGCAAGTGGGGCGAGCACAGGGCGCGCTGGCAGATGGCACGTGTGTCTGACAAGGCCGCCAACACCCAAGAAATCCTGCAGCTGTTCCGGGAGATCGAACGCGCCCACCTGCACAGGTAGGGGGCTTGGGGCTTTGGGGGGTGTGTTACAAGCCCGCCACACTACCCAGGAGCACCTTCAGTTGTTTTGGGAGATTGAGTGCGCTCTGATTACACCCCACCACCACAATCCCCTTTTCCTTCACCCTATTCCCCCACCTTTTTCTAGGGTGACCTAGGCGGCGGTGCAGGAGAAAAAGGCAGAGCTGGAATCAGTGAGAGGGTGTGTGTACTCGGGAGAGGTGGTGGCCAGCATGCTTCCACACCCCTTACTACACCCCTTACCACACCCCTTACTACACCCCTTACTACACCCCTTACCACACCCCTTACTACACCCCTTACCACACCCCTTACTACACCCCTTACTACACCCCTTACTACACCCCTTACTACACCCCTTACCACACCCCTTACTACACCCCTTACTACACCCCTTACTACACCCCTTACTACACCCCTTACTACACCCCTTACTACACCCACTCAACATCACCCCCTGCCCCCTTTCTCTCCTGCCAACCAACCACTTTCTAGAGTGACCAAGGCAGCCGTTCAGGAGAAAAAGGCGGAGTTGGAGTCGGTGCGAGGGTATGTGTACTCCGCTGAGGTGGTGGCCAGCATGCTGCAGGACCCCTTCCGGGCCTTCCCACCCCCTTCCCATCAACCAACCCACCCCACCCCCTCCTCTCCACCCCCACTTCCCCTTTCCTACTTAGAGTGACCAAGGCAGCGGTGCAGGAGAAGAAGGCGGAGTTGGAGTCGGTGCGAGGGTATGTGTACTCGGCAGAGGTGGTGGCCAGCATGCTAAGGGAGAAGCGAGCAGCGGCGGCGAAACCGAAGCTGGTGGTGATGGAGAGGGAGAGGGTACGACTGGATATAGCCGCTGCTGAGCAGAGAGGGGACCTGGGAGCCGTGGAACAACTCAAGGCGGAGGTGAGCAGGAGGGGGAGAGGGGGTGGGAAGAGTGGGGGAAGGGAGTGGTAGGGGAAGAGTTAGTGCACCTCGACGTGTCTGCGCCCATTCCATGCCCTCGTCTTCCACAATCCATTCCCACCATCATGCAATCGTGCATCAGCGGTACCTGTGCTACTTCAACGCGCGTCACCATCACATGTGTTACCTGGTTACCTTTGTCTCCACCATCCCCATCCCATGTGTGCCACTAGTTGGAGAAGCTGGAGAGGATAGGGGAGGACAAGGGCGAGGCGAACAAGGGCAGGCGAGAGGTGGATCTAGCAAGGATGAACAAGCGCAACCGGCAGGAGAACTTCCGCACCGCCACTAATGCTCCTGCTGGCGCCACAGGTGTGTAGAGTGGTCCGGCACTGGTAAGTAGGGTGGTGCTCCGCTTGCCCTGCCCCAGGGTCGTTAGAGCTGTATTTGGCACAACTGCTGGCGCCTTTGGTGGTAAGAGTGACGCCGCAGGTCCGTGGTGCTCCTTGCCAGGTCGGTCGATGATCATTCACCACTGAAGGTGCTCCCAGAACTGCCACAAGAGCCCTGCTACGCCGGCTGCTGCAACCACTCCCCCTGCTGGAGCACTTTTTCTTGTCCCACGAAGCTGAGGTGGCATCTGATTCGTCTTAACAAACATTTTGTTTCTTGTTGCGCCGCCGGTCGGTCGATGATCATTCACCACTGAAGGTGCTCCCAGAACTGCCACAAGAGCCCTGCTACGCCGGCTGCTGCAACCACTCCCCCTGCTGGAGCACTTTTTCTTGTCCCACGAAGCTGAGGTGGCATCTGATTCGTCTTAACAAACATTTTGTTTCTCGTTGCGCCGCCTCTCTTCCAACAGAGACCAAGACGGGAGAGGCGGCTGTGGATCCCTTTATTCGCCGGTGGACGCGCTCCCAGAACTACTACAAGAGCCCCGCCGCCCCCACTGCTGCCGCTGCTCCCTGGTCTGATGACGAGGATGAGGGTGCAGGCAAGGACGGGGGAGGGAAGAGTAAGGACGGGAAGGGTAAGGATGGCAAGGGCGAGAAGGGGAAGGAGGGAAAGGATGCGGATGGGAAGGGTGGAGGAGCGGAGGAGGAGAGGGAGAAGGAGAGGGAGAAGGAGCGGGAGAGGCAGCTAGGGAGCTGGTTGGGGCAGCAGTTGGACGAGCGGGCGAAGCAGGTGCTGCGGAAACACGCCTTTGACATGGACATAGACCTGAGCGTCGTGGACAAGTGGGGGGGAGCAGGGGCAGCGGCTGCGGCACAGAGAGGGAGTGTGGGGCCCGCAGTGTGGGAGGCGGCATTTCTGGCACGCAAGAGGCAGCAGGAGGCGCTGTATGGGGCTCCGATTGGTGTGGCTGCTGGGGAGACCCCGCGGGGGCTCAGGTTGTTGACTCTTAGTGAGTATAAGAGGCGCCGGGGGCTGCCTTGTGACTGAACAAGGATTGGTGAGATGTGTTGCGTGGTGAAGGGTTTAGGGGATGATACTTAGTTGGTACACTGGAGCTCGATCTGCACTACAGGTTAGCTGGGATGGTTAGAGGTGCCAATGTGTTGAGAGTTGGTTGGGAGCTAGGAGATTATTTGCACAAAGTGATTGCTTGAAGTTGTCCATATCAACCAGAGTGGGCATGTTGGCTCTACCCTGCTGCTCCTCATGACTGAGTTACACCTGTGCCCAAGGCAGGCACAGATTGGCCATTTCCCACCCTCGTTGCCACGCAAGTTCCAATGCCTAAGGCATGGCTACCGTACCTCTTTCAAAGCTCTGAAGATTCTCTTTCAAGAAATGACTTCTGAAGAGCTCAAGCTGCACTTCAACTGACACGGGAGTTAAAAGATTCTCTACTCAAATGTCCGAATTGTTTTTAGGTCTTGAAGCATGGCTTCTATCTGGTCATCATCAATCATTGGCTCCCTGCCATCCATCTGCACAAACGTGACAGGGCAGGGGAATGGAGTGCACTCCGTTTTACAGGTACTTCACTGTTCACTGACTAATTTCGGTGGGAACAATGAAGGCCCAAGTGCATTCAAAGTGCCGGAAAGGCCTGAAATCGAAACGTACAGCTAGTGAAGGCACGAGTGACTTGGCCTCATCCACAGTGTCAGGTGCCAGGTTGCCTATCACACACACCTGCACAGACACAATCAGAACACATGTGCCGTTGGCCCAAATTGCACAAGTTCTTAAAAGATGACGAGAGGGAGTTTTACTGGTTTGGGTTTTGGCGAGAGTTTCCGATCTCGTGAAATTCGATTTTTTCGCCCAACCTAGCCTGTCCCCGCGTTTTTACTCTGGCGGGTGTGTCAGATTTTGAAAGTCCCAAATTGCAGCTGCGCTTCTTTTAAAAGCTTGCACAGCCACTTCGTCAAGTTTTAAAAACTTGACCCGCGCGGTCCGCAATTTGGGCCGCGGGCTTTAAACATTGTGCAGGGAGCGACAGGCAAAAATATACGGTACATGCCTTCAGAGAAGATGGTCAAGCATTGAACGAGTCAGGGGAGGAGGTGGGGAAGACAGGGAGCTTGAGGGATACCAGGTGGATCCAGCACTCACTTCAAATTCGTGCAGCTTGCCCTTGCCAGCCAATGCCCTGCCAAACATGACGTCAACCCACAATGTCATGTTTAATCCGTACCATGAAAGCATTGCACGCTACCGTGACAGCATTGCATTGAAGTTGTGCACTGGGAGACTTACTCCCTGACTTGTTTCACCGCTTGAGGGTTCTGATAACGGCTGAACCGTTTCACGTACTGTAGTGACTTCTCCAGCACCCTGCACGCAATGAAGGCTCACGATTATTGACTTATGAAGGCTTGAAAACGTCTGAGAGACCCTAACGACGTAATTCAGGTGCAGGATTGATAGGGAGAAGAAAGCTAGCGCAAGCTTTGATCAGGTACTCACGAATTCAGCTGTAGCATGGGATCAACGTTGTTTTCCCGGAGGCTCTCGAGCTTCTTATCGAGGATGAGAGCCACCTCGGCGTTCATGAGGCACTTGGCTCGACTGAACTCTGACACATCGGGGGAAATTAAGATTCGCGAAGCCGTAGGATCACAGATACGAGAGAAAAGAGGGTGCTAGGGTTAGCTGCGACAGTGTCATGCTGGAGAAGCTAGACGCAGACGCTGCATTATGGAGCTACTAGGCTAGGGAAGAGTATGCGACCTGATCCGAGCTTCAGTTGACCTGCGTCTTCCTCCTCCGCGACGTTTTCGGACGCCATGCTGTGATGGACGAGTGAAGGCGAGGTGGTGTATTAGTGCTCCGAAAGCACTTCTACAAGTTCCAGATCACTGTATTAATGATGGTCTTCTACGATAGACCAGAGTCAGGCAGACTTGAGATTTTTGCTTGAGGTCACACGCAGCTGCCTGAAGACGTATTTGACCAGCGACCTAATGGAAGCATGCAAGTTTTTTCCTATCCGATGAAATCGATGGCGGAGGATGGAAAATTCCAACAGAGCACAAAACATACCTTTTTACAGCTCAAGCTTCGTTAAAGCTTCAAAGTAGATATGTATTTCTGCGGCATACAGTCTGTACAACATATGGAAATTCTCCCTTCTCTTCCCATTCATTGTTGGCCCTCGAGATCTCCAATTCCTCCAAATCCTCCACCACAGATACAATTCCTGGCCATCTACGCCATTCCCCAATTTAGCTCTGGCGTTTGCTGGCTGGGAGGAGCGAGTCCGAGGACGGACCAGGTTTTTGCCGGAAAGACTTGTCCTTTTCTCGCGGTTTTTTCTAGTACGGCGTAATTGTCCGGATCTTAGTCGGAAATCTAGATCTTTGTGGTGCTGTGTTGGCGAGCTTTAGATTTCCGACATGGCTCCTGCCAAGGCTGCTGGAGCAGCGGGATCCACTCCCACTGCTCCCAAGTCCGCGACGGCGGAGTTATTAGATACTCTGGAGGAGAAATTTCGGCTTACGACGAAGCAGCAGGAGCTCCTGATCCGCGTCGCGACGCTTCTACTAATCTACATCCTCGCATTCGCCACTCGACTCTTCTCCGTGCTCCGTTACGAGAGCGTGATTCACGAGTTCGATCCCTATTTTAACTACCGGACCACGCTGTATCTCACTCGTAAGGGATTTTACGAATTTTGGAACTGGTTCGACCACGAGACATGGTACCCGTTGGGTCGCATTATCGGATTCACTCTCTACCCTGGTCTCATGGTGACGTCAGCGCTTATCTACTGGGCTCTCCATGCGCTCTCATTGGTGGTTCACATCCGTGACGTGTGTGTGATGACCGCTCCGTTCTTCGCGTCAAACACCGCCATGGTCGCGTATTTCTTCGGAAAGGAGATCCGCGATTCGGGAACCGGTCTTATCGCCGCGATCTTCCTGGCCATCTGCCCGGGTTACATTTCGCGATCCGTCGCAGGATCGTACGATTACGAGTGCATCGCCATTTTCGCGATGATCCTCACGTTCTTCCTCTTCGTGAAGGCCGTTAACACCGGCTCTCTCGCCTGGGCTGCCGGCGCCGCGCTCACTTATTTCTACATGGCAGCATCATGGGGAGGCTACATCTTTATCATCAATCTGATTCCGATCTACGTGGTGGTGCTGCTGATCACGGGGCGCTACACCCCGCGGCTTTATATCGCGTACAACGCGTTTTACATCATCGGAATGCTGCTGGCGATGCAGATCCGGTTCATCGGCTTCCAGCACGTGCAGTCCAGCGAGCACATGGCGGCCCTCGGCACCTTCTGCCTCATCCAGGTACGCACTTAGCGGACAGTCCGTTCGAAACTTGGCGGGTAATTTGTCATTTGCCTCATCCACGTAGGCAGTTCGCGAATTTCGGCTCATGCTGTCTCATTGGGATCAACGTTTAGCGGATTTCGGCGCATTTTGTCGGATTGAGGTAGGCAGCTAGCGGATTTAGCGCTTTCTTCCAATCATTCAGGTAGGCATTTATTGAGATTCTGCACATTTTTTTCTCGTTCCGGTAGGCACTTCGCCGCGCAAAACCATGTCGTTGCAAGCAGCCCATTTAACTCACCCATTGCATTGCACTATCCAGTCGCTCAGAAAAATCAGCAGTTAGGCAGTCAACACCATTTCGCGTTGTGCTGTCTCATCCCGTCCCGGTTCTTCCCGTGTGTCCGTGTTATCGGCAGGTGTTTTTCTTTGTGGACTGGGTGAAGCATCAGCTGGCGGACCCAACAGTTACGCAGTTGGCACCATTTCACCTCGTCCCCGTCCCGTCCCGTTTTGTCCCGTGTGTCCGTGTTGTCGGTAGGTGTTTTTCTTCGTGGACTGGGTGAAGCACCAGCTCGCGGATCCGAAGCTCTTCCGCACCTTCCTGCGCGTCGTCGTCTTCTCCTTCGGTGGCGTCGGCTCTCTCGCCTTCGCCGTCGGCATGGCCACCGGTGAGAGATGGGTTCTGCTGTGAAAGAACACGGGGATGTGCGTGCGTGGGTGGTCGATGCATTCGCTCGTCGCATCACCCACATTCGATTCTCTTATCACATGTCACACCCATCGGACCTCCTTTTAATCGTCTTTCACAACCGTCTGGCCTCCGTGTTATCACGCCTTGCGCTTGTCTGAGCTCCGTCTGATTGCCTCACGCCTTCGTCTCCTAACCCCTGCTTTTCTTTCGTGCATCACTCTTTCACGTTTTCCCCTCCTCCCCCGCCTTCCCCGTCTATCCCACTCTCCCCTCTCCCCCTCTCCCCTCTTCCCTTCTCCCCTTTCCCCGTCTCGCCTCTTCCTCTCTCCCCCTTCACCGTCTCGCCTCTTCTCCCCCCCCCTTTTCCACTCTCAACTCGCCCGCACCCTCACACGCCGCAGGCTACATCTCCCCATGGACGGGGCGGTTCTACTCGCTGCTGGACCCCACGTACGCCAAGGAACACATCCCCATCATCGCGTCCGTGTGTCCTTCCGTGTCCCTCCCTTCCTTCTCTCCCATCCCATCCTTCCCTTGCCCGCGCTCCCCCCTGCGTGCCAGGTTACATCTCGCCGTGGACGGGGCGGTTCTACTCGCTGCTGGACCCCACGTACGCCAAGGACCACATCCCCATCATCGCGTCCGTGTCGGAGCACCAGCCCACCGCCTGGTCCTCCTTCTTCTTCGACTTCCACATCCTCCTCATCCTCTTCCCCGCTGGTCAGTGCCGCCCTTGCCCCCATCTTCCCTCCCCTCTTCCTCCTCACCTTCCGCAAAACACTCGGAGTTCCCTCTAAGCACTTTCCTCCCTTTCCCCATCTCGGCCCCCCTCCTCTTCTCCCCAACCCGTCCCCTCATCCTCCTTTGCATTGCTCCGTAATCCTGGCCTTACCCTGTGTGGCAAACCTCCATTGCGTGCCCACCCACCTTCCCACCCACCTTCCCCGCCGCCTGCCAACCCCCTCCTGTGCCAAACCCTTCCCCTTTGCCCATGCCAAACCCCCATCTCT